AATACTTGCGGAAGCCCGACGAATGAAAACTGAATGATCTGAGGTAAAGCTTTGAAACCCAAAATGAAGTACCACTATACTAAATTTATCAAACCAACATGTGGCGATTATTTTAGGCCATATCGTGCTTTCTTCAAATGACACACTAATTGCTCTTGGTCTGGTATAACATAACCTGGAGGTTGAATCATATAAACCTCCTCTCGTAGAGCTCTGTGTAAGAAGACATTCTTTATATCCAATTGATACAAAGGTCAAATAGAATTGATTGCAACAGAAATAAGAACTCTAACAGAGTTAAGACGAGCAACTAGAGAGAAAGTCTCACGGGAATTCACATCATATGTTTGGGTGTAGCCCTTAGCAATCAATCATGCCTTCAAATGCTTAGTAGAGCCATCAGGATGATATTTCACAGTATAAACTCAACAACTAACTGGGTACTTACCAGACGGAAGAGAAGTAAGGTCCCAAGTGTGATTGTCATGAAGTGCCTGAATTTTCTCATCCATAGTCAGTTTCCATCAAAGAGATATTAATTCCTGTTTAAAAGGGCTAGGAACAACTACAGAAGACAAGGTTGAGACAAAACAACAAAAGGGAAAGGAGAGTTGATGCAAAGAGACAAAATTAGATATGGAATGTTAAGTACAAGTATTAGTATCTTTTCGCAATGCAATAGGTAAATCAAAAGAGTGTGAAAAAGTAGGCTGCTAAGGAGGAGGACCTCAATAGAATCAGGTGGTGGCAGGGGCACTAGGGTACATTGACATAATGTCGATGAGAGCCGAGGTCATAACATCAATAATCTTTATGAGTACGAGAGTATCCTAGAAAGATACTTAACCGAGTGAGGGAAAAGTTTATCCTGACCTGAACTAAGAAGTTGAACAAATTCAACATAACCAACGACACGAGGAGTGAGACCAACAGTTGATGTCTCCAGTTAGAGCAAAAAGACTGGAGATTTGTTACTCAAGATGGGAGAAGACATCCGATTAATAAGATAAATCATAGTCAGAACATCGTCTGCCCAATAAGGTTTATGTACATGCATGTTAAACATGAGGGTACCACCAACATCTAATAAATAACGATGTTTATGTTCCGCAACACCATTTTGTTGGGATGTATGAGGACATATAGTCTGATGAATAATACCATGATCAACACAAAATGTACACATAAAGGATTGTACATATTCAAGTGCATTATTAGAGCGAAATATCTTAATACGTTTATCAAACTATACAAGAATTTCATCATAGAAAGTAAGAAAAATTTTAGTCAATTTTGGATGATCCTTCATGAGAAACAACTAAGTCATACGAAAATAATCATTCACAAATATCATAAAATAATAAAATTCATAATTTTTTTTTATTCTTCAAGGACCCCAAATGTTGGAGTGAACAATAGAAAAATGACTAGATTAACGACTCGTACTACTAGCAGGAAAAAAACTACAGTGATACTTGCCTAATTGACAAGTCTCACATTCTAACATGACAGAAAGACTCAAATTGCGAATGAGTTGACAAAGTTTTTATAGGGAAAGATAACCCAATCGAAAATGCCATCAGAGAGGAGAGACGGTAGCACTAAAGGTAGGAACTATTGCTCTGGAATACAAATAATGGAGTCTATTTTGCTCATGTCCAAATAAATCACCTTCTTCGTGTGGAGGTCTTGGAAAACACAAGATAAATAAAATGTCATTGAACACTGTAAAAATTTGATTAACTGACTCACTGATAACAAATTAAAGGGAAGGTGAGGGACAAATAAGCCAGATGTTAACGACATAGATTTAGTAGGATGAAGATCATCAGTCCCACGTACTAGTTTAAAGGAACCATCACCTACCACAATATGAGAATTAGAAGAACGAAAATTAGAAAATAATGAGCAAATATCAAACATGTGAATACTAGTGCCTGAATCAATAATCCAAGATGGTGAGGTTGACTGGGCTGCCACGTGTGCTGAATTACCTGTTGTAGCTAAATCAGTAGCTGCTAGAAAGAGTGAAGACAACTGTTGGGTGAGCTGATTGAGCTGGGAGTGGGAAGTGAGATTATCATGAGCGCCAGACGTAGATGTAGCATGCCCACCGATCGATGACTGAGATACCAGAGGAGTTAGGTCATCAGAAACCTGTATAGCATAGTCAGGTCTTATATGTTTATCCCAACAAGAACACTTCTACTCAGAACGATGTCCACGACCACCATGACTTCCACACTATTACCTCTACCACCATGATTGCCACCTTGTGGTGGATGACGACCACCACCACCTCTATGACCACTACTACGATTACCTCCACGACCAACATCATGACTATCATCACTAGAAAATAAGGCAGATGACTCCTGAGAGGATAGAGGAGCTTCATGAGTCAGAGAGGCTCTTTCAAGACGTGAATAAGCATTAGCAGTAGTTGGAAGTTTCTCACTAGTTAAAATCTGATTCTTAAACACCCCATAATCAGAATTAAGACTAGACAAGAGTAAAGGAACCTAAAACTCTTCACGTTGTCATGGTTGTATCTCTAAGTCCGCATTGAGTGGCTGATAAGATAGAAGAATAACCCTTTGAAGATACCATAATGTTTAGCAAGGGATTTGTTACCCTTTCAAGATACCATAAATCTGAGACACATTATGTTCTTGGGAGTATATCTCCTCAAGTGAATCCCATGTCTTCTTGGCCGTGTCTAGAAGTTGAATATTAGAAGCTATTAAGGGTTCCATGTTAAGCCACAACCAGGTCATTACTAAGGAATTCTTATTCTACCAATCTTCATAATCCTTTGAGGTCTCAGCAGGGGACTTTCGGTTAGATACTTAATTTTTCTTTTTGCACATAGAAAAACCTTGATAGCATGAGACCATGAGTGATAATTAATTTCATTGAGTTTCACAGAGGTAATCTATCGAACTTGATCATCAACTGAGATAACCTGTCTAACTAGGTTATTAACGGAAACAGTTTTACTCTCATTCGAAGCTACCATGTAAAGAAAATACCAATTGCCCAAACCCTAGTCCAAAAAAAAAAAAAAAAAAAA